ATTTAATCATATATTACATTGTTAGACAGATATATATGTTATTTTCTAGAATCCTTATTATATTTAATTGATTTATTTGATTATTCCTGTGCTGGTGTCATGTTTTAATTGCTGAGACTATAATGGTTTTAAATTTTTAAATATTTTATTAATTGACTTTGACATTTAAAAAATAAATAAAATCAATCTGCATTTAAAAAAGAACGAACAAAAGAAAGAAAAGAAAAGAAAGAAAGATGGAACTCCTACCTTTTGCCACAGCATGGATGGAACTGGAGAATACTATGCTATGGGAAATAAGCCAGTTGGTGAAAGACAAATACCATATGATCTCACCTATAAGTGGAATCTGTTCGGCAAAATAAACTAATGAACAAAATAAACCACAAGCACGGAAACATGGAGCAGACTGAAAGTGACCAGAGGGGATGGGGAAAGAGGACAATGGTGGAAAGAAGGGGAAGGGACTAGCCAAACAACATGTATGAATGACCCATGAACACGGACAACAGAGTGGGAATTGACTGTGGGAGCGGGGGATGGGGGTTGGATGGGTGAAGGGGGGTGAATGGCGGTGCAGTGGGGTAAAGGGGGAAAATTGAAACAACTGTGATAGAGTAAATATGATTTAAAAATCTTAAAAGAAATAAAATAAAAAATAAATAAAAATAAATAAAAAAGAAAAGAAAAATGTAGTGAACTAAAAACAGCTTAGCATCCAATATTTTCAATGTTTGTCCTCTGTATGTGTTCAAACCACATTCAGTGTCCAGCCTCCATTTGCACATTGCTTTATACAAAGTTTTCACATGTAGCAACGCAAAACCAAGAACTCTCTTAGCAAGGATATTCCGAGCTCTATCATAGGTTTTGATTCCTTCTTCACTCTGAAGTGACACATTTCTTGCCAAGAGCATCTTAGGTTGGTGTTCCTTTCTTTAAAATGCTGCTGTCCATTTAATAATTCAGGTAGATTCATAATTTCATAGAAAAAAGATAGTTTGTGACTAGTTGATAATGTTTAAGACAAAATACTGTAACACATGAGAAAGGACATTTTGCTCAGAAGTTCTGGGAAGAAACAGTAGGATGTTTTTGAGACAGAGTGATATTGATTTCAAGGTTTATTAAGACACTAAAAGTAACTTCCCTGAACCACTAATATTCACTTTTAAATATAAAAGTGCCTATTATACATCTGTAAGGCTTGTTCTGTTGCAGTGCAGTGTTTCCCCAGCCCACAGACTGTGCTACATGAGTTTTATGAGACTTACAGACACAGCAAACTCTCCAAATAGTAATATCAATGTTCAATGATTACATCATCTTAGTACATGTAAATTTCAACTCAGACAAAATATAGGACCCCCCCCCACCAGATGTGCTCCACTCCTCCCTAACATCTTTCCAAAATAATTCACTATTGAGTGTTGAATGTGGAGTCTTGTTTATCTGCCATATGAATAACACTGCTGTGTGGGAGCAACTTTTATTCTTGTAAGAGGGAGACAGAAAAGAGAAATTTAACATTTGCCCTTTCTTATGCACATGTGAGCCACCACCAAAGTGAAGCACTTCAGGCTACAGGCATGCGGACAGCTTAAACGCGTCCTGGGAGATGAGACCCCTCTACAGGAGTAAGAGAATCCCCGGTACCTAGTGGGGATCCACTGGAATTTCCTTGGAAAAAGTCTGTGTATTTTGAGAAAGAAAGCTGGAGGAAGTGATTCTTACTGAAGCCACTGGTCTTTGTTAATTGCTTGGGTTAAGATTTTTCTCACATACTTAAAGATATGGATAAGAGCACACGGTTTCATCAGTAGCAGTGGTCTGTAATGTTGATGCTTAACAGACCATTACAACTACTTGGATTAAAATAGTGGTTATCCATACAAATTCTGGACTTTCTCCCTAACCATATCCAAATGCTCTAACCAGAAACCCAAAACGAATAGCACATGACAAAAATGAACTTATTTCAATATTGAAGAGCAAGACAGCCATGAAACAGGTATTTGTCATTGTTAATACAGCACTTTCATTGATGCTACAGCTATGTAGCTTTTACAGCATAAATTACTACACAGAATTAGCCTATTTAAAATCTTCTTAAATTCTGGAAACAATACTAAGACCAATTCTTGTAAGAGTTGAGAAGATGAAGGCTCTATACTTTGTTTTTGTGGCTGCTAAAACTGGATCACTGAAGAGTCTTGCAGGAGATAAACAGGTTCCCAAGTTGCTGACAACCCACCCAAGGTAAAGACGCAGAGTTTGAAATAGTGTTTTATGTGATACACGAGGACTTTGACACTGAAATACTGAATTAGAGTTGCCGACTCCATGACTGACCATCCAAGATGACATAGAATAAGAAAATTGTAGAATTTTAAATTCCTGCTTCGACTACATGGGAGTGACTTTAACCTTGATTCCACAGAACTGTAATATATCTAGGCCTCTTCATGTTAATAAATCTTGTGGTGCTACTCTGGAATTTTTTTTACCTCAATACCTGGAATACCTGGAGGTGTTGTGCTCCTGTGGAAAGGGCGTTAGAGTTGATTTGGGCTTAAATCAGGCTGGATGTCTCAGGACCTTCAGCAGCTGTTCCTATGAGCTGGAGAAAAGCTAGGAAAGGGATTTCCAGTGGGTATGAAACGCAGGGTTCCTTTTGAATGAGTATTTCATGATTATTTTGGCTAAGCTCAAAGCTCTGATTTAGGGATATACAGAAGCCTTGTGTCTAAATAATATCAATACTAGATTAAAGCTAAACACACCAATCCACGTTTTGACCTCAGTGGTATGAAACATTTAGATCACTGGTCAAATTTCTAGTCTTTGTCCTGATGTTTGGGGCTAGAATGTTCAGTCTCTAGTTGGACATCACAAAAATAACTAAGTTATTACGTTGATTTTTTTCTCTCTCTTCATACACAGACTGAAGTTTAGCCTATAATTAAGAGATCATGCTGAGAAAACCACCTAACGTACTAGAGAAAAAAATCCATCCATTTTCTCAAGAGAGGTTTCCTCTTTCCTGAAGCTCATGATGTAACCAAGTCCCTCATGACAGACCTCCTTTCTCAGGGACGGACTTCCCAGAGCAGCTGTCCTCCACTCCCTGGCCCCAAACAACAACAAAAATTACCATCAGAGGCACAAGAAACCCATGAAAAGAACTCAGCCTCCCAGCATTCACTGAAAAAACATGAGAGTGCAGGAACTGAGACTGTGCTGATTAAAGATATTGGAAGCATGGTGTTCAATAGTCAAATTCTGTTCTCATGGCAGATGGTGCACACTGGAAGCTTAGACTCAACAGTCCTTTTTTTCTTTTCCATCAGGATACCCCTGAATTCTGAAGGCCTGGGCTGTATGAGAAAGAGGACGCTGAGACTGTACCACCATTTCTGGGGTACTTGGCAGCTCTGCTGCTCCCGGCAAGGACAGACTCCACCTCCCGTCATTGGTTCATTAGATCTCCGCCTACAGGCAGGATAGACTCAAAGTGGTAACAACAAAGGCAGAGGAGCTCCCTGTCACCCTTTTGGGCCTCTAGAACTTGTGAGGGCAAGATAAAGTACCTTCTACTGTACCACACACCTCTGCCCATTGGCGCCTGGAGATAAAGTGTATTTCTGTTCTGACAGATGCTTAACTCCCACTGAGCGTGATAACTGGGATCTCAAGATACTTGCCCAATGTTGATTCTCACACTTTCTCAGTGAGGTGATCAGGTATTCTGAGTTACACTTCACACGGAGGAAACTGAGGCATGGAAAGGAATTTTATTGAAGGATCAGGTGCAGCAGGCAAAGGAGGAAAGTGTTCGAGCACCCCAGTTATTTTCCTGACTCCTCATCCTCAATGTCAACAGTTCTAACACTGAGTTTTTGCTTCCTTAAAGCCCCCGCTGCCACTAATGACTGTTCTTTTAAAAAGTCAAGGTATTAAACCTAACAGAACTCCGAAGGAAAATATCCCAAGGAACCAAAAATTCAACCCAGCTCACAGAGAAGGACATTTTGGGTTGAGCTGGCAGCCCTGGGAACTTCAAGGGATTAATAATCAGTTTGCAAATTACTCAAAGTTCCCAGATAGGCCCCAGAGACAGCTGGTGATGCTACAAAAGTGTCTATCACCAGATTACCATGTTATATCCTTAGAATCTTTGCCACCTGAATGACATGGTCATAACAAAGGCGACTCAAATAATGTTCTTTAAAAAGTCATACACCTTTGGCTACTGTGGGCAGAAGGTTGTTCAGTCAGGTAATGCACACCCCTCAGTGTTTAGGTATTTTCTCTTTGCTCATTTGGGCATCTAGAAATAGATGATAAATGCTTGGGGAAGATCAGTTTTGTCTTATGAAAACTAAACAAGGGTGGAATACAATATGGAAATGAAAATATTGTAATTATTTTGGTAACCAAAAGAGCACTGCATGAAAATCCTGAACATTGGTTTTATTTTATTTTACATCATTATAGGGTAATAACTTTCTCTGATGAGCTTTTCCTAGGTTAGCTTACAAGTCCTCAATTTAGCTTTCAGGTCTCATCATTGCTTCTTGATGCTTCAAGACAAATGCTGATTATTGTGTTGACTTGCAATTAGTACCTTGAATTCATCCCTCAGATCAATGTGTTTAAAACGGGCTGTAAGAGGATTTTCAAAGAAAGGCACAGGGATTTAATTCCCTGATTCCCATTCCTCTAAGAGCTGTGAATTTAAATCCCCTTGCAACCAACCCAAAATTTACTCCCTGCTGCCTCAGAGTGCCAATTAAACAATAAAAACCAAGACCATGGTCGGATGTAATTAGTTTGAGAAGAGTTTTATAATTTTCCTCATGCCAAGAAAACAAATGGACCCCTCTGATGACAAATACAGAATAATTCAGTTTGGACAAAAGGAACACAGATCTCAAATCTGAACATTTCTTTTTTTAAGATTTTTATTTATTGAATTTTTTTCTTTTTCTTTTTTTTAGAGAGAGAAAGGAAGAGAGAAACATTGATTTGTTGTTCCACTTATTTATGCATTCACTGGTTATTGGTTGGTTCTCGTCTGTGCCCTGACTGGAGACTGAACCCGAAACTTCGGTGTGATGGGATGACACCCTAATGAGCTACCCAGCCAGGGCTCCTCAAATCGGAACATTTCTTGTGCTATTTGTCAGGAGGTTGTAATATTGAATGACTGTGCTTCCTGGGTATGTGAAAATGAGGACATAAACTCTGGCTCAAAATTGCTGGAAATGCAGTTCATGTTGCTTTTTTTCCTTTCATAAAACAAAACAAAACAAAAAAAAAGTCTTTCAAGACTTCTGTTGATCCAGATTTTATAAAAGATGTGTTACTTCTAAAAAATATGATTCTGATAGGAACAGGCTTCAGGTGAGCCGCAGGCAAAACAGCATAAGAGGAAGATAGTTTTTGAAAGACTGCTGAGCGTTTGTTAGCCCAAACCATCTGGGAAAGAGTATCAAGTCAGTGGTCCGATAGCAAGCACAGCCAAGTCTCTTGTCCTGGCCATCTTTGGAATGAGGTGGCCTCCATGGTGACATGGAGCTAGGGTTCTGCTTCACGACAAGGCATATATGAATCTAAGGACATGGGCTGGATAAGGAGAAGTGATTGGTTTGTTTTTGTTATGGTTTCTGCCTCCTTGTTTAGTTTAGTTTGGGGAGGAGGGGAATAAAAAAGGAGGGAGAGAAGAATAAAAACGAGGTTAACAAAAAAACCTCTCCTACACAGGGGAATATACCATGGCAAGACTCTGGTCTAACAGTTTCATCTTTGTTAATTCAAAATTCTTTTATTCTGCTCAACCAGATACTGCAAACTTTTTCCACCCTATTGGTCTGAGTTGGAAAAGCCTGGCACACATGAGTCAGGGAACTGACGTGCATTGTTATGGAATGTAAGAAGACCTGTGTCTCAGGGCCACTGCTTGGACAGGCCCCAATGCAGCCTTCAGTGTGAACTCCTCAGGTTCCCTGCTCAGTGTTTTATGAAACACTGGGCTGTGGTCTCCTGCATGTGTGTGCACGTGCATACATGGCTAGGAAATGGGAAAGGCAAGTAGTCAAGTGTAGTTATAATGAAGAAAAACATACTTTTTTTCCCCATGAAAAATATCAGACTTAATGATGATAATATGTGGGAGCTATGTTAAAAAAAAAAAACAACTCATGAAACAAGGTCGCTTCTAAAGAGATTATGAACTGGGGACCAGAATACTTATTTGAACATATTTTGATTCTAAAGTTTTCTTATAAAAATAGTCACAGAAGTTGGTGGATTTTTTCTTTTTACGTACAACTCAATTTCTCTCATTTACAACATAAATCATTTAATGTAACATTTGTAACCTTAGAAAGGCAGACATATTTAATCCAAGTCAGTTTATAAATTCCAATTTCACATGGATTAAAAACTGCAGATAAATTAAGTCACAATAATATCCTGTACATGCATTAAGGCTGGTGACTGCTAAAGTCTCTTGGGTATCTACAAACAGGAAATCACACACATATTACTGGGTCTGAAGAGTGTCTACGTCATTAAAAAAATCTTGCTTTTTTTTTTTTTTTTTGGTGATACAGATTTCAACAGTAACTCTGGAAAACTGTGAAAAATGTTATTTAAAAATATATATGTATATACTACTGCACAGTTTCAAAGATGTGATTCATAAATAATGTTGGCTGCACTGATTAATTTTATAACAATTACTGTACTTCCAAGGTGATGCGAACACGCAGTGACTTATACTCAATATTAGGCACTAGTAATATCCTTCAGGCGTACTACAGTTTTATGGTAGCTGTATTGTACATATATATTTTTAAATGTATGCATTTATACAAACTGTGTATATTATGCATGGGATGTCAGAAATGTACACATCACTGTTATATAATACACACATCGTTGTATATACTAGGGTAAGTTTTAGTGCAGAAAGTCTCATTGCATTGTGTTCTATGTGTTCAATCTAGTACACAACTTGTCACCTCCTCAGATTATTTTCCTAGTACATTCCTCTTTAGATAATGGGTCCAAGTTTCCATTTGTAATTTGAAAATTTCCAGAAATATTTGTTTTAACCAACCCTCTCTTTCCAGGCACAATTCTGCACATAAGTCTGATCTGCGTAGAGCGGTAACAAACTCCAGATTTTGATTAGGAATGTATTTGAGTTACTCTCTTTGAAAGGTAACGCTAACATTGTGATAAAAGCTGGCATCCACTCAGGTCATGGAAGGATAAGGCCAGTTGAACTTGTGTTGAATTTCTAAGGAAATAATACATCTTCAAAAAGAAAGAAATACTAATAGATATCATATGTTTAAATGGGAGACTCTCTAGAAGGATAGACATGAAACTGTGAGCAGTGGTTATCTCCGGGGGTTGGGACTACTTTCTACTTTCTGCATTTCTGTATTGTCTAAATTTTTACAATGAAGCTTTTATAATCAGAAAATGCAAGAAATATATTCCTACTTTGAACAAAACTAAATAAAAGGAAGTTATGAATGACTTTCACAAGCAACAAGATGGTTCCTTACTATAATCACCTACATCCAAGCAAACAAAAACTGCTGCCCCACTGTGCTCTACCGATGAAAACTAAAGGACACCCCCCAAATGACCAGTGTCAAGTTTAGTGGGGAAACATGGGTTATCAAAGTGCTGATAAAATGCCAGAGGCCACCTGTGTGTTTAGATGGGGTTTTAAGGGTCAGCATACCACATGGGTGCCACACAAGGCCTGCAGCTGTATAGATGGACAAGGCCAGCAAAGCACCCCAGGGACACAGCTGAGGGTCGGCCATTCCTTTAGGTAAGAGTTTGAGCATTTCATCAGAATTCAGCAAGAGTAAGCAGAACTAAGCCTCAGTCCTCCAGAACAAAACAAAACAAAACAAAACAAAACAAAACAAAACAAAAAACACTTCACAATTTCTTAAGTTAGATTTAAATTTCCAACCTTGATGGGATTGTGACCTACACTACAACTAGTGAAAGGGAGGGGCAAGCACCTCAGTTGGATAAATGTAAAATAGAAATTTTGTTAATAGTTCCAGAAGCTTCAAGTCTAAAGCCAAATGCAAATTTCATAAGCCCTTCACTTGCTCCTTTTCAATTAATTTCAGGTCACCATTTGTACAGTTCAATCATTTCTACAGTTTTGAGTCAGTGCCATAGCGAGGAATTATAGCAATCTTATTTCTACCTATACATCAGGCTGACAAAAATGTTAACAATGAGACCAAAACAATCAGACCACCAATGAGAACATACAGGAGCATATCTTGTAAATGTCTTGTGCCGCCTTCACCTTGAAAAATGGGCTGCTCCATAAATTGCATCCCGTCTTTCTCAGACCATCCTGGTGCAAGTTTGTCAAGTGAGAGGCCTAAGAAACATTATTTTTGTTTTTAAAGTATGGCAGAGTACATCCTTTTTTCTTTCAGAAGTTTTTCTTTTTAACCAATATTTTTATATCCAAATATATTTAATAAGAAGACTAAATCTAGGGCATGACAAGGGACTATAAAAGAAACAAATTTCAAGCAAAAACTGTAAACAAGATGTCAAAAAAACTAAAATGTAAACTTAATTAAAATGAAAAAAAGAGAAAAGAATTGAGGGCCAGATGTAAACATACCAGACACACAGGGTGTGAGCGTGATGTTCTGGCTGCTGCTCCCCCAAACAGCACTGCGATCACTGCAGGAACAACTTACCCTGCGCAGTCAGCACCTTGCTAATCAAGCCCGAAATGGACCCCCAGCTCAAAATGCAGGGACGTGGCACATTCTGCATGAAGAATGCGAGGATTAGATGTTATCAGGATAGCAAGTAGTTCTCAGCCTGAGGCAACGCATGGACTCCTAGTGAAGGGGCATTCTCCATACTGTCCTAATTTGACCAAGAACATTTGTAAGAAAGCTATCGTGGAAAGAAAACACTTACAAAATGTTGGCTGACAAATGCCACATGGCTCTACAGCCACTGTGTCACAGTGGCAGGAAGAAGAAACACATGTGCTGGGCAGGCCTGTTGTCGCATGTGCAAAAGATTTCAATCCCTCACTGAGCTCCAAAATGCAGAAGTCACTGCTGGTTCACTTTCAAAGGCACTGAGTTCTTACCAAATCTCTGTGCCACTTTCATACTATTTTGGGGGTAGGGCAAGGAAGGCCTGTGGGAGTTGATCCATTTGCTTATAACACATTTAGTTGATAATAAAGTTGGATGGAGGGGCGAGTAGTAAATGAAACGCAGGGTATTTGGTAACATGCAACCTGGTAAACATCCAGCACAAAAATAACTGACTTATTTTCATTATTCAATTACCATTAATACATACAATCAAGGAATAAATGGGGAATAGTATATTAATACTGAAAGTAATCAATAATATAAGAACTAGGTTCATCTTAACTGGCAGTCAAGCTTTTGGTGTGCTGCACTGCACCTGGTTAACTAACCATGAAATTTTGGTAGAATGTTCTAAAATGTCATGGTTTAACTTTGAAGTAGAAAGTTGTGTGTGTGTATAGGTGTGTGTATGATTGTGTGTGTATGTGTGTAAGTGTATTTCCTCTAATCAGAAACCTCTGATCATTTTGTCTAGACTGGGGTTTTGAAAACTAGACAAAGAAAATGTGTTCTAAAGAGCTGTGTGTCTTACACACATACAGACTGCTTCTTCTACACCCACACATACAAACACACATGCCCTGGGAAAAGACCACTGTTCAATGCTGAGAAAATATTCACTGCAGTTTGACAGATGCTGTGGCTGGGCACTTCAGTAGCACAGTGTCCAGAAACATTGAGCTGTCCATGGAGACGAGAGCAAAATCCAGCTCAAGGGTGAGGCCCCTATGAGAGGTGGGCGCTGTTCCTCAGCCAGTGCAGACCCTGCTGGGAGTACTGGACCAGGTGTTCCATGCTGCTGTGTAGGGTGACAGGCCCCATGAGCAGATCCAGGTCGTTGAAGAATTCTAGGGGACAGAGAGAGTCGTTAGGGTGCCACATGCTAAGTGTGTTATGCTGGGAGACCTAAGCGACTTCAAAAACTCCATTTGTGGTCTCTGTATACACCAAACACTCTCTCTTCCTTCATGCCACTTTACAATGAAGCCCAGAGGTAGACAACTCATTCTTTTATCCAAATAGCCACTCTATTGTCAATTTTTTAATTCAAATGAATAACATTTACTTAGCCAAACAGAAAAGAAAACTGGCTTTCTCAGACTGCATTCCCCTGAACGTGGAGTGTGGTTCTGTCACCCCTTGTCCTAGACTCAGCTGTGGCATGTGCTGGGCCACTGGAGGGGGTCTCAGGGAGGGGGCTCCAGGCTCTTGGCGGAAAGTCAGAGACAGTTCTGAAATCTCTCTGCAGAGGTCACCTTCCAGTCCTTGGACATTCTCTGGGTTTGTTCTTTTGTTAAACATTTATTATGTCCCAAGACACTAAGCTAGCAGCAGTTGGGTAGAGGTAGGGAGTATACTATGTATAATAGACTCTGCTGTCTCAGAGAGCACAGCTTAGTGGTGAAGAGAAACAAATAAACTCATACAGCTGCTACGCTGTCACTGCTGGATCACTGAACAACATTCCTTCAAAAGAAATGCCTGGGAGAAGTTTTTCAAAGATGCTCACATACACACATGCTGAATGAGGCCCTGCTGGGAAGGCAAGGGAGGGGGTAGAAAAGACTTCATTTCCAGGTGTCTGGGAAGGTAGCCATGGCGGGGATCCGGGGCAGAACAACCAGGAGGAACTGGTCAGAAACACAGTGCTGACTTTGTATTAGACACGAGGCTCTGAGCCCTGTGGGAGGAGATATCTAGCAGGAGCTGGCAGTGCCGCCTGGAGCCAAGCCCACTCAGGATCTCCCAAACTGGCCACGCACATTTTCATATATTTGTCCTCGTGTTTTGTCTGCTTGTGACACCCACCTCACTCCATCTCAGCTACTCAACCACGATTTGCTTTTCACAGTCTTGTGCCATGCCGGTTTCCCATTGGATTCTCAGGGTTGGCAGCTCCGGGCTCCATGTCATGCACTGTCTGGTTTTACTGTCAGTTTCATGTACTTGGGACCCATCTGCCTGTCCATCACAACTTCCTTATCTTCCCAGAGGCAAGTCTTAATTTAGTACACATGGACTTTTGACCCCTCCTAATAGGTTAGTATGTTTGGACTTTTAAGTATCTTAACCCATTTCTGGATGTGTAACATGTTTATAAACCTCTTGATTTCTAGCAACATATAGAAAACACCTATTAAAAATACTTCACAAATTCCACTCGCTGTCAGCCATTGCTGGCATTCTGTCACTAGGGAGTACACAGCAATATCTGATATGTTGAAACCTTTCAAGATAGCTTGAACTTTAAAAAGCTGGTCCATTAGTTGTATCTGGTGGATGTAAATTTGCTTCCTCTTCACTTTGTGTCAAGAGCTTAAAACTGTGAACCTAACTTTCTTTTATTGGTGGGTAATAAAAATAAAGATTTTATTTTCATGCTAAAAAAACCTCCACAAAAACAAAAAAAAACAACTTCCTCATCTTAGCATGGACATCTGATCTTGTCCTCAGAGGCTTTATGCTCTCATGGGAACAAAATTTGTCTTCAATGACTTTAAAGTGACTTCAGATTTGCACTTTAACCTGAGTAGTAAATTGGTATAATTGTTTGGGAGAAAAGTTAACAATATATATCAAGATATATGACAATATATACCTTAAAAGAATCTATACCTGTTGACCCTAAAATTCTACAACTCATTTCTATGAAAATAATAAAAAATATGGAAAACAATTTATATAAAATATTTGTGATCACCTTTTCTGCGATAGTGGAAAAATATTGGAAGTAATATAAGTGTCCAGAAACAGGGGAATTGTTTGAGAAATCATACTTTATGACAGTATAACCACTACTGTGACAGTATTATAGAATGATCATAAAGGGTGGTTTTGAAATAGTTAGTAGCATGGGAAAGTGCCTGATATAATATCAAATGAAAAAAGACAGGCTATATTACTCTATGTATATTATGATCTTATTTTGGTAAAACCCATGCATATTTAATGGAGACTGGAAGAAGCTTCAGTAGAATGTTAATAGTAATTATTTTTTGGTGATAAGATTACTGATGATATAAAAAGCTTTTTATCTACAACATTTTTCCGTACTTTACAAATGTAGCCATAATAAACATGAATTCCTTTTATAACCAGTTAAAAAACATTTAAAAAGAAATAGAACTTGGGAAAATTGAGACAAATGTATTTGAACAATTAAAAAAAAAGAAATAGAACTTATTGCTACATATAAGCAGCTACCGCTTAAATTGCTAGTAACATTCACACTCATTAATTAGTTTACTGTTTCAGATTCGTGACTATGTTCTAGGCACTGTGCACGTCCCAGGAATAGAAAGTAGAATAAACTATAATTCTTACCCTCAAGGAGCTCACTGTCTGTGGGGGAAAATACAAATGTATGTATCTTTATCTATACTTATATATGTATATATTTATATCATTTGTATTTATGTATTAGGTAGAGCTGCTTTGATTCCGTGTATTGGTAAAATGGCCTAATGTGGTAGGTGTCCTGTAGGGTCCAGTGGCACTGCCTCTCCTGTCACCCAAGCTGGGTACTCAAGGTGTGCCCTCTGTGCGGCCTGAGTGGACCCTCCCTCCTCTTGTAGTTGAACCTTGGTTGCTGTTGGCAGATCAATGGGAAGGATTTGCCCAGGCCAGTCAGCTGCAAGGGCTGGCGGTGACCACCGACCAACAACCTTCACCCCACATGGAGGATCAGCTATGCAGGGGCAGGGTGGTGGTGCTCTGACGTGGTCTGTAGTTGCCTCCTGGGTGCGTAGGCTCTTGGGTTTCCTGGGTGGTGCAGGGCAAAGTCAGCCCCCACCTGTGTTTTGCCCGGGGCCACTCTGCCTGAGCAGTAAAGCAATCTGAGATGGCTGCCACTTGTGCTGGGCTTGGAGATTCACAGGGGAAACCAGGCTGTGAATCTAGGCTGGTTGATGCTAATACCTGGCCTGGGCTCACTGAGGTTAGCTGTTGCTTGTTTGAGAGGGCTTATGAAGATGTGAAACATGAGCCAAGACCAGCCATTTCATATGAAGAACAGCTTGTGTGGGCCTGTATGTTGGGTAGGGCGGAGTCTCTGGGGATTTCCAAGGCTGGGCAGTGTTACCCAGGATGAAGGAGTCCCAAATATGGCACCAGCTTGCCCGCTGTGTGGCTCTGTTGGGGGAGGGTTTAGAAAAGGGACAATAGCCTCTGCTTTCATTGATGCCAGGCACTTCAGTGTCTCTCAGTAGGTCACTGGTGCCTTTCAAGCTGCTATCCTGGTGCTGGAGCTCAGAGGGAGTGAGTCCATGTTTGAGTCCCTTAAGAGGAACTGCTTGGGGCTCCAGAAGCTGCTTTTGCTGACTTAATCCCCACTGGTTTTTGCAGCCAGAAGTTGTGGCGACTTATTTCCCTGGCACTGGAACACTGGGCTGGGGGGACTGATGTGGGGCTAGGACACCCCACTCCCAAGATCTCCCTCCTGAATTTTTATCTGTCACATGTGGGTGTGGGACCAGCCTGTTCCATGTCTGTGTCCCTCCTATCAATCTGGGTGGATGTGGTTTCTTTAATTCCATAGTTGTCAGACTTCTATTCAACTTGATTTCTGACAGTTCTGAGTCATGGTGGTTCTACATTTTAGTTGTGAATTTGATGTGGTTGTGTGAGGAGGTGAGCCATGTCTGCCTATGCTGCCATCTTGTCCGCAAGTCATTTGTCTCTGTCTCTCTCTCTCAATCTCTAATCTTCCACAGTAGAGATAAAGGTAAGTTAAGGTATATATAGGAGGCCCTGGGTGAGGGGGAGAAGTCAAGAAAGTTTCACACAGTAGGTGACAGCTTGATTTCTTCTTCAGTAAATGATGACAACTGGTCTGATGTTGCCCAAGGGTCAGATTATCTCCCTGAACTGCGGTCAAACAATGCACACACTCTCCCAAGGGACACACACCTCTGTTCTCCTTGGCCAGGTTGTCTGCCATCTCCCAGTAGTCGTAGCTGTGGAGAATGCTGTTGGTGATGCTGACGTGATTGGCCGCCATCTGGTGGATGCGCTGTGGGATGCTGACGATGGTCGAAGGGGACAGGGCGTTGGTACTGGAGAGGCTCCCCTGAGATCCCACGGAGCTAGTCGGGGAGGGGTTGGGCGACATGGGGGATGGGGTTCCAGTGCTCCTGGAAAGGGAGAGCATAGAAAAACATGAGTGGAGAGGCTGGTACCGGGTGAGAAGGGGCAGCCCATCAGGACACTGTACACTGCACGCTGCCCCGCAGCAGGCCGGGGCTCATTTATCACCTTTACTTTGGAAGAATGAACTTACTTTCCACTGGCTCCCCATGGAGATGGGGCTTGGGCAGCTTTAGATGAATTCTGCAGGAAAACAAAAAATTGACAGTGAAGCCATCTGCTTAGGATTATAGAACTGACAATCACGTGTTCTCAGGTGATGGTTGAGAAAAGTAATGGCTGACACTGCAGATAAAATGCAGATTCCTAGAAAATGGGTCTGGGAAGTCACAGATCCTAGGCTATTGGCTCCCTCTCTGGAACTCAGTGGGGGACAGCTGCACGGCCTGCTTGGCTCCACGCCAGGCTAGGGTGGGTTCCACGCACCAAATTCTGTGTCTCAAATTAAATCATAATCCTGAGAGCCTGCTGAATCCTGAACCAGTTTAATTTTTTCATCTTAAACTAGCTTAATTTTTCTGAAAAGGAAGAAAAAGCATTCCCCTCCCCCTGCCCCCCGGCCACATAGTGAGAACACCTTACATGGAAATATAGGGCATATTTGCAGAAACCCTTAGCCTACATTTAGTCCCAGACATCAAATTGTATTATTTAAATTTATGACTCTTAAAAGTATTTCTCTTGAAGAAAATTACTCTTGAATATTTCTAAAAGAATAGATTAAAATATCCTCAACAGATAGAGTACTCAAGCATTCTGATTTACCTAACTATTCTAATCTGGGATGTTATGTTTCACAAGCCAGTTGTTTGCATCTGGCATTTACAAAAAGACCTGCCTTTGGTAAGGAAAATTCCTAAATGTACAGATGAATTTCCTCTCTGAGATCCCAATAATGCCTTCTTGGACTTAAGTCTATGGGACTGTTAAGGAAAAAATCCTCCCTTCCAGAGACAAGAAAATAGCCTCAGCTTGGTCCTCCAGAGACAAAGCATTTCTTTTGGTTAAAAAGAGCTTTATAAAGTGGTGACTGATTTTTAGTTTTTAGTGGGGGTGTCATCAAGAAATGGCTTTACATGTGGCAACGTTAAAGTTGTGTTCATGCTTCGTCCACTAGCACTAAGCAAGCCCTGTGACTGTAAAAACATGGGTAGGAGCAAAGTCCTTGCTCAGAGACAGCTCTGTACCAATAAAACACTTTCTTTATGGGCAATTTATCAATGTCACCTGAAGGTTCCATAACTACTGAACTTTAAGGGGCATGTAAATAGCCTTTAATTATAGGTGTCTACCAATAATTCCTGAAGGGGAAATCCTGATTTTTAAGTTGTGTTCTGTATGCATTTTGTATATATTCATGGACTGTATACATACATTAAGAACTTCTTGTATTCCTTAAAGTTCTGTTGTAACCCCTATGGCCTACAGAGTTTAGATTCCTTCTCCGTTGAAGCATTTTTCTTGACTGTAATAACTCTCTTTAGTTAGTTCTCAGATTCTAAATTTTTCAAAATGACTTATCTTGACCTTAGGTGCCCAAAGTAAAGGGAGAGGCTTAATGTCAGCCAAGGTTGTTACCTCCTTGACTTAGCACCTGGCTATTCTTTATGCGTGACCAGGAAGACAGCGGCATGCTGGCTGCAGCCCGCAGGACGCCCAACACAGCCTGGTCATCAGAGATAATCTCTAAGAAGTGGTGCAGGGTTTAAAGTATTTACAATGATGGTTTTGTATCTTATAAAGGGTTGGTGAAGGTAGAGATGGTACAATTTCTTGTTTCTATAGACAGATGGACACTGAAGAGGCCCAGAAATCTCAAATTAATTGTTACTTTAGGTTTACTTCACAAAAGTACATGAGAGAAAGTTTTTTTAGTTTTATTCTCCCAGTGAAAATAATTTCATTCCCTGGGACAGGGAAAGGTTCTAATTCTATCTTTATACTTATATACTGCTATTTGCCGTAGTGCTTCTGAGCTTTAACAAACCATTTCTTTTCTCTTTTAGATTTTATTTATTTTCAGAGAGAGGGTGTGGGAGGGAGAAAGAGAGGGAGAGAAACATCAGCTGGGACCTGGCCCACAACTCAGGCATGTGCCCCAACTAGAATCGAACCGGCAACCCTTTGGTTCGCAGACTGGCGCTCAATCCACTGAGCCATACCAGCCAGGGCCATTTCTTATCATTTAAAATAACACTTTTATCAATAATTAAATTAGCTACTGGAATTTGCTATGAAGAAGTTTTAAGCAGTTACTTCCAAGAGGAAGAAACTCTATGTAAATATGAGGAATTTATATTACTATCAAGGTGAATTTCCTATGGCATATAATTGGTAATTAAATTTTCTTTCTCCTCAGGGTATCAAAATACTTGGACTCAAGGCAGACGGATAAATTAGATGAGCTCTCAAGGCCATTTTCCAAGCCCTGAACACCATGAGTTTGTCCTAAATGAGATTACTGTAGGTATTGGAAGGCTCCTGTATTATCTACAAAGCAATGGATTCTATTCTCAAAAATGTCCTTGATGGGGAGCCGACTGAATTCAAGGAACAAAGCCGACCCTTAGCCAAACAGTACCTTAAAATAGTCGATAAGTGCTTTTGAATACTTTACAGCATGATCCCTTTTGAGTCGGAACATCCGCCAATACAGGAGAGCCAGGCATCGGTAACTGCAGCAGAAGAAGAGAAATGAGCCCTGGAAGCATGAGTGTGTCCTTTGCAAATAGGGCTTTTAAAAAATTGTTGTTTCAAGCACTCAATATTTCTATCATGATTATATATATAATATACATACACATATGTCTTCTCAGTATCTGACCTTTTGTTCAGAAGATACATTTCAAAATTTCAAGGAGTTACTCCATAACTAAATTTAACTTAATATTAGCTTTAATGCTTTGTTGGGGTGCGGGGCTGGCCAATTTCTTCGCCCGCCACTAGAGGACAGTGTCTCCCCACAAGAGGAGTGAGGAAGCGCTAGTACACAGCTTTCAAGGCTTACTGGGGAGGTTCAGGGCAGAGCCACCTTTGATTTCTCTCTGACACCCTGGCCTTGTGGCACCATTGGCTTTGCTGAAAGAATAGTCTTCCACCTGTTTTTATTCCTTTACCTTTAAACTACTTTACTCATTTATAATTAGTTCAAATAAAGGAACAAATGTATGTTTTATAAACAATAAGACTATGCTGTGGAGTTACAATTACTTTATATGATATTTTATACACTTATTATTTACATATTAGTAATATTATAATATTGATTATTAATTATCATTATTTATTAATCCTAATGTGGACCTTAAAGTTTGAAAAGAGTGCTGAAAGCATTTCTTGAGACATATCCTCTTTTTCTTCAACTTTTTCACTCACAATTATCTGCTAACTCAGGTGCGGTGCTGACATGCTAGATTACCAATGCACCAAATAAAATGTAATGGTCTCCTCTTAGCACATCAAACTCCAGATGATGTGATGGTACGGAACTACCTGAGGTCTCCTCTTTTTTGTATATTGCCATTAATTAGTTAATTTATTTTTTGAGACTTGATTGCCTATCTTGCAGACCAGGGGAACTATAAACCTTTGGAGAGCAAAATATTCTGGATCCCTATCACAAAAGGAACAAATAAAGAGGTGTCTTGTGATTTGGGGGAGTGGGGTGAGGAATTCTGAGGAGATGTAACAAGGAAATTACTGTTATAATCACATATTCATTACCATTTAAATCATTATAGATATAAAAATCTATTACATGTTGGTTAACATTTTAAAAGAAAAGCTTTTATTATGAAAGTGTAACGAACTGCTCCTCAGTTTAATATGTTGATAACGTGAATGCATCATCTTCAATCAGTCATACTAATCTCACATGTAAAGAGACAAATGAACTATTTTGACTTTAACTAAAATGTTGAACAACAGAGAAATTACATTGGGCAAAATTCAAATTCAAATAATTAAAACATAGACCATCTGATTTTAGTACACACACACACGCACGTGCGCGCGCGCGCGCACACACACACACACACACACTTATTCTTGCATAATGGACCTGTCAATTTTCAATCACTGAATGCACATTCTGGCTGGTATAGCAACAAGCAATGGGGTGGGCTCTCACCGACCAACATTAGACATGCATTTGGTTTTGCACATTAGAAGGCACTAGAAAAATGTTATGCATTTCAGCACCTGGTTTGCCAATGACGATGGATATACAGGCTGGGCAGGCTATTTTAAGCAGATATGATGCAACTCACCATAATGCAGCCAGCTGTTTATCTTCAGGTGTGGCATTGGGTCCTGAGTGGGTTTTTAGTCTCATAGCATACCTAGAAGAAAGACAAGAAAGAGGAACCAAATACATTTTTAAAAATTGATTAAATTTATTAGGGTGACATTGATTGATAAAATTATATAGGTTTCAGTTAAATAACTCTATAACACATCATCTGTATACTATATTGTGTGTTCACCATCCAAAGTTAAGTATCTTTCTGTCACCATTTATACCGCCTTTACCCTCTTCTAACTCCCCACACCTTCTTTTCACTCTGGTAATCACCGTGTTGTTGTCTGTGTCTATGAGGGTTTTATTTTTGGCTTAATCCTTTTTCACCCAGCAACTTAACCCCTTCTCCCTTCTGACAGCTGTCAATGTATTTTTTGTTTCTAGGAGTCTGTTTATACTTTGTTTATTTTTCACTAGATTCCATATTTAAGTAAAATAATATCATATTTGTCTTTCTCTGACTGGCTTGTTTCACTTAGTGTAATATTTTCCAGGTCCATTCATGCTATTGCAAAAGGTAAGATTTCCTTCTTTTTTATGGCTGTGTAGTATTCCACTGTGTAAATGCACCACAGCTTTCTCATCTCCTCATCTAGTTATAGGCATTTGGACTGCTTCCAAATCTTGGCTATTCTAAGTAACGCTGCAATGAACATAGAGGTGTATATATTCTTTTGGATAGTGTTTTGGGTTCCTTTCAGGTATATTTCCATAAGTGGGATTGCTGGGTCATAAGGCAGTTCCATTTCTAAGTTTTTGAGGATACTCCATATTGTTTTCCACAGTGGCCAGACCACTCTGCATTCCCATCAGCAGTGCACAAGGGTTCCATTTTCTCCATACCCTTACCAACACTTGTTGTTTGTGGATTTATTGATAGCCATTCTGGCATGTGTGAGATGGATAATCTCATTTTGTTTTTAACTTGCATTTTTATGATGGTTAGCAATGTTGAGCATTTTTTCATATGTCTATTGGCCATCTGTATGTCCTCTTTGAGGAAGTGTCTATTCAGGTTCTTTGCCCATTTTTTAATTGGTTTGTTTGCCTTTCTGGTGTTGAGCTGTATACTTCTTTATAGATTTTGGAAATTAACCCCTTATCAGATGTATCATTGGCAAATATATTCTCCCATTCAGTAGGTTGTCTTTTCTTTGCGTTGACGGTTTTCTCTTCTGTGCAAAAACTTTTTAGTTTGATATAGTTCCATTTGTATATTTTTTCTTTTGTTTCCTTTAACCAAGGAGATACGTCAGAAAAAATACCATGCAAGAAGTGTTTTCTTCTAGGATTCTTATGGTCTTGAGTCTCACATTTAAGTCTTTAACCCACTTTGGTTTTATTCTTGTGCCTGGTGTAAGAAGGTGGTCTAGTTTCATTTATTTTATACATATCTGACCAGTTTTCCCAACACCATTTATTGAATGCTCTGTCTTTACCTCATTATATTCTTGCCTTATTTGTTAAATATTAATTGACCATAAAGATGTGGGTTGATTTCTGGGCACTCTATTCTGTTCCATTCATCGAAATGTCTGTTTTTATGCCAGCACCATGCTGTTTTGATTACTAAGGCCTTGTAGTATAGTATAGTATTAGGTAGTATGATTCCGCCAACTTTGTACTTGCTCAAGATTGCTGCTGCTATTCAGGATATTTTAAGACTTCATATAAATTTTTTAGAATACTTATTCTAGTTCTGTGAAATACACCATTGTTATCTTGATAGGACTTGCACTCAATGTGTAGATGATCTTGGGTAGTATGGACATTTTAATGATATTATTTCTTCCCATCCATGAACATTGTATATGCCTCCATTTATTTGTATCTTCTTCAATTTCTTTTTTTCAGTTTCTTACAGTTTTCTGAGTTCAGGTCTTTTATATCCTTGGTCAAATTTATTCCTAGGTATTTTATTTTTTCATGCAATTGTAAGTGAGATTGTTTTCTTAGTTTCCCTTTCTTATAGTTCATTACTGGTGTATAAAATGCAACCAATTTCTATTTATTTTGTATCCTGCTACTTTACTGAATTCATTTATCAGTGCTAGTAGTTTTTTTGGTGGGATCTTGAGAGTTCTGTATATACAGTATCATGTCATCTGCAAATAATGACAGTTTTATTTCTTCCTTTTCAATTTGGATACCTTGTCTTTCTTTTTCTTGTGTGATTTCTATGGCTAGGACTTCTGGTACTATGTTGAATAATCACGGTGAAAGCAGACATCCCTATCTTGTTCCTGATTTTATGGGACATGCTTTTAATTTTGCCTATTGGGAATGATGCTGGCAGTGGGTTTGTCATATATAGCCTTCATTATGTTGAAGTATGTTCCCTCTTTTCTCATTTTGCTGAGAGTTTTTATCATACATAGGGTGTTGGATTTTATCAAATGCTTATTCTATAATTATTTATATGATTATGTAGTTTTATCCTTCATTTTGTTTATGTGGTATATCATGTTTATTGATTTGCAGATACTGTACCAACCCTGAATCCCTGGAATAAATCCCACCTCATCAGGGTGTATAATATTTTTAATGTGTAGCTGGATCCTGTTTGCTAATATTTTGTTGAGGATTTTAGCATCTGTTCATCAGGGATATTGGACTATAATTTTTTTTCTTTGCAGTGGCTTTATCTGGTTTTGGAATTTGGATAATGCTGGCCTTGTAAAATGAGCTTAGCAGTCTTCCCTTCTTCTGAATTTTTTTTTGAATAGTTTGGTATCAATTCTTCTTTGAATGTTTGGTAAAATTCATCTGTGAAGCCATCTGGTCCAGGACTTTTGTTTGTTGGGAGTTTTTTTTATTATTACTTTAATTTCATTAGTTGTAATTGGTCTATTCAGATTACCTGATTCTTCCTGATATAGTTTTGCATGACTGTATGTCTCTAGGAATTTATCCATTTTGTCCAAGTTGTCCAATTTTTTGGCATATAGTTGTTTGTAATATTTCCTTACAATCCTTTGTATTTCTGTGGCATCAGCTGTTACTTCTCCTCTTTCATTTCTGCTTTTATTTATTTGGTTCCTCTCTCTTTTTTTCTTGGTGAGTCTAGTTAAAGGTTGGTCAATCTTGTTAACCTTTCCAGAGAACCAGCTCTTGGTTTTATCTATCTTCTGTATTGTTTTTTTAGACTACATTTCATTTATTTATGCTCTTTTCTTTATCATTTCTTTTCTTTGACTCACTTCAGGGTTTGCTTTTTGTTCTTTTTCTAGTTCCTTTAAGTGTAAGTGTCAGTAAAAGTTAGGTTGTTTGACATTTTTCTTGTTTCTTGAGGTAGGCCTGTAATGCTATCAATTTATCACTTAGGGTTGTTTTTGCTGTGACCCATAGGTTTTGGGTTGTTGTGTTCTCATTTTCATTTGTTTTAAGGTAGCTTTTGTTTTTTCCTTGATCTCCTTGTTAACCCATTCATTGTTTAGTAACAAGATATTTAGCCTTCATAGCTTTTTCATTTTTTCCTTGTGATTGATGTCTAGTTTCATGCCATTATGGTTAGAGAGAATGACTACTATGGTTTCAATCTCCTTAAATTTATTGAGACTTATTTCGTGGCTTAACATGTGTTCTATCCTAGAAAATGTTCCATGTGCACTTGAAAAGAATGTATGTTGTGCTGCTTTGAAATGAAATGCTCTGAAGATATCAATTAAATCCATCTGGTCTACTGTGTCATGTAAGGCCACTCTTTCCTTGTTGATTTTCTGTTTTTAACATCGATCCATAGAGCCATACCTGGTGTGGCTCAGTGGAATGGCTGCTAGCCTGTGAACTGAAAGGTCGCTGGTTCGATTCCTGGTCAGGCACATGCCAGGGTTTCTGGTCCTTGGGTGGGGGTATATGAGAGACAACCGATGATGTATTTCTCACACATTGATGTTTCTCTCTTTCTCTCCCTCCCTTCCTCTCTCTCTAAAAGTAAATAAATAAAATCTTTAAAAAAAGATCTAACCACAGCTGTCAATGGGGTGTTAAAATCCCCTACTATGACTGTATTACTGTCAGTCTCTCCCTTTATGTCCATCAATATTTGCTTTATATATTTAGGTGCTCCTATATTGGGTGCATAAATGTTTACAGGTGTTATAGCCTCTTATTGCATTGATTCCTTCATCATTATGTTGTGTCCTTCTTTGTGTTTTATGGTAGCCTTTGTTTTTTTTTTTTAAAGATATAAAAAAATTTTTTTAGAGAGAGGAAGGGAGGGAGAATATAGTCTTTGTTTTAAAGTCTATTTTGTCAGATTTGAGTATTGCTACTTTAGCGTTTTTTTTCCTCATTTCCATTTGCATGAAATATCTTTTTCTATCCCTTCACATTTAATTTGTGTGTATCCTTCACTCTGACTTGGGTCTCTTGTAGACAGCATATATCAGTCTCGTTTTCTTATCCATTCAGCTACCTCATGTCTTTTGATTGGTGCATTTAAATCATTTACATTTAAAATGGTTATTGATAGGTATGTATTTATTGCCATTTTATTATTTATAACTGTGTTGCTCTTCTTCTGTCTTCTTCTTCTTCCTTCTTATTTTTTCTTATTCCTTTCTCCTCCTTTCTCTTACCTCCCTCTCCTCTTCATATTCTTCTTTTAGAAGACCCTTTAATATTTCTTGTAATACTGGTTTGGTGGTAAAGAATGCATTAAACTTTTTCTTGTCTGGGAAGCCCTTTATTTCTCCTTCAATTTTAAATGACAGCCTTGCTGGGTGATGTAGTCTTGTTTGTAGGTCCTTGCTTTTTTATCATTTTGAATATTCTATGCAATCTCTTCTGGCTATAATGTTTCTGTTGAGAAATCTTCTGAAAGATTTCTCTGTCTTATGGCAGCTCCCTTATAGGTAACTAATTGTCTTTCTCTTGTTGCTTTTACGATTCTCTCTATCTTTAATCTTTGACATTTTAATTATGATGTGTCTTGGTGTGGGCCTCTTTGGGTTCATTTGAGACTCTCTCTGCTTCAGGGACTCGCATGTCTTTTTCCTTCACCAGGTTAGGGAAGTTTTCAGTCATTATTTCTTTAAGCAGGCTTTTCATCCCTTGCTCTCTCTCCTCCTTCTGGTATCCCTATGATGTGGACATTGTTATGCTTTATGGTGCCTCAAAGGTTTCTTTAACTGTCCTCCTTTTTAGAAATTCTTTTTTTTTTTTTTTTTTTTTTTGCTGCTCTGATTGGATGTTTTCTGCGACCTTGTCTTGCAAATCACTGATCTGTGTTTCATCAAACCTACTGTTTATTCCTTCAAGTGTCTTCTTCATTCCCGATATTGTATTCTTCATTTCTGACTGGTTCTTTTATATGGATCTATGTCTTTTTTCATGCTGTTGTAGTTCTCACTTAATTCCTTGAGAATCCTTATAACCATTTTTCTTTCCAGTTCCTATCTGGTAAATTGCTTGCCTCCATTTCATTTAGCTCTTTTTTTCTGGAGATTTCTCATGTTCTTTCATTTGGGGCATGCTTCTTTGTCTCCCCATTTTGGCTGCCTCATTCTGTTTGTTTATATATATAAGATAGATCTGCTATATCTTCCTGTTCTGGTAGAGTGGACTTATGTAGTAGTGTCCTGTGGGGACCACTGGCACACTCCTCTTGATCACCTGAGCTGGGTGCTCCAGGAATGTCACTTGTGTGGGTTATATGAGACCTTTTGTTGTAAATGAGTCTTGATTGCTATTGGCCGATTCAGACCTGGGTTTGACCCTCAGGCTGGCTGACTGTGAGGACCAACCTCCACCACAGTGTATGAGCTACACAGCTACGCAGGTGCATATCTGCACAGCTAAGTGGAATTTTCCTCAGCAGGACCTGGTGCCTGCTGAGATCTCCCTTTGGATATGCTACTTGTGAAACTGATTGGACCCTGCTCTGATATTGTTTAAAGCTGGCCACTGAGTGCATTGGTTCTGGGGGCTCTTGGGAGGGACTCTGATGCATGTCAGTGCCAGATGCTGTTGGTGACTGGCCTTGGGCAACCTGTTTGGAGCTACAAAGCCATCAACAGTTTGTGGCTGCCTCTTCTGGGACAGGGTGTGTTTGGGAAGGGACAAGCTAAGCACCAAGGCTGACTTCCACCAGCACGGAGTCTGGGGGCAGGCCAACAAAAGGCCCAAGGCAGCACAAGATCTGCCTCTATTTGCTGGCTGCCTGTTAGGCCCAGTCACTGAAAGAGCCTCTGACAGTACTCAAGTTATTAGTGAGTCATCAGGTAGGGAGTAATGGTGTTCACTAGACTGATAAAGGTTTACTTGGTGTCAATGCCAGGTCTGAGGCCACTCAGCAGAAGTCCCGGTATACACCAAGTCTAGCTGCAACCTGCCAGTGCCCACAGACCATTATGGTGGGGCAGGGTCTCAGGAAATTGTCAGGGTGAGGCCAGCAGTTTGTCAGGCCCTAATAAACCAAGATCTGGCTGTGTGAAGGGAGAGCTCTGCACTGGCCGGGCATGTGATGGAAAAATGGCCCCTGTTTTAGAACCCCACAACTCAGTTCTAGCTTCTGCCTGGGGCTCAGCAGGGTGGGGCTGCTGGGAGATGGGAGGATAGGACCAGTGGATCTCCTGTGAAGGGGGATGCTGGTCAGGCTTGGGGGAAGGGGGGAGTAGTTTTATCCAGATCCATACAACTCAGTCCCTGACATCCTGAGTCTTCCTGGACCCTTACACCCCTGCTTGGGCAGCTGATTCCTTGGCAGGGTGTGAGCTCTGCTGGGTGGAGCAACAGGGAGTCTTAGAGGGTGAGGCTATTTTATTTACCTAGGCTTATGCCATAAGGAAGGGAGTGCTCTACCCAAGAAAGATGGCATCAGTGATGTGGGAGAGGGATTCAGCACAGGGTTTCTGGTGGCTATCCCTTCAACTCTCTCCCCAGAGCCACAAACTCTAATCTCTCCTCATTCAACTCTAGTCTGCTTCATTCTCCCTCCACTGGAGTCCAAGGTGAGTGGCTGTGAATAAGATTTTGTGTGCTGGCCCGTTAAGAAGGTGCCTGTATCTCTAGCAGCCTCCTATCTCTCCCTGGACAGAATCCCCACTGGTTTTTATAGCCTAGTGTTATGTGGGCACTTGTTCCTGCCTCTGGTCTTCTGGTCTGGGGAGTATGGCATGAGGCTGAGACCCCCTGGTGCTCAGGGGAAACTCTGCATCTGAGATATTCCTCCAGGATCTTGGCCATGGCCCGTAGGAGCAGGGCCAGCCCTTTCCTCTTCTCCACCCTTCCCCTATGAGACTTGATGTGACTTGGTTATAAATCCTATAAATCCTTGGTTATAAGACTTCTGTTTACCTAATATTTGGTTACTCAGATTGACTGATCTATATTTTAGTTGTAATTCCAGTTTGGTCCTGGGAGGAGATGAGTATAGCTTTCACCTATTCCATGGCCATCTTGGATCCCGTCCAAAGAAATTTTTTTGTTTAAAAAGCTTTCTTAATAATAGAACATCTTCCACAATGGAAGCTCTCTCTGCCCAATACTGTTTTTCACAGTGCTTTCAGATAATTCCTTCTTAAAAGCCAGCTAATCCTGCTTAATTTTCCTGCAGGATTATATTATTGTGATGGCTAGAACAAAATGATTTTTATGACAATCTAGCTGTTTTTGCCCTTTAACAATACAAGTTCAAATGCTACACATGGTTGAAAGTGACACCAGTTCAAACATTATCCACATATATGGTGACACATCCATTTTTATGAAATTTGATTAATGGCTGAGTGGCTGACAAGATGGAGGCAAAGTTCAATCCTTCCAGAGCAATCTCCAGGAAAAAAAAAAAGTTCATTCCTGTACTCAGATGAATGCCTGGATTTACCCCTTTTTCATTGTGGCTGAACGTTTACTCTGACAATGGTGTAAATGTCCTGGGAGTGTAACTAGTGACTTTTATGAATGTTAGTTAATTGCGCTTATTTCTCTGGACTATGGCCATTTCTTTATCTAATACCATACCAAGTCACCTGCAGACATTTTGAGAGAGCTGAGGTAATATATGGAATGGTCAGGGAGTCCTACATTTAAATCCCGGCAGACAATTATTAGTTGTGACAGCTTAGACTAATATGTTTAAATCTCAATATCCTTATTTATCAAGTAAGACTAATACTTTTAATCACAGACTTGTAAGAATTAACTGAGATAGTATTTGTTGTGACTTGCTCAAGAAATTATACTATTATTATACTATTCCACAATATGCAGATTTGTAGTGTTTTCACATGTATCCCGTTGCTTAGTTATCACAGTGATTGTTCTTGGTTTTACAAAATTTATTGCTATCAACATTCTCTACTTTGGGTGAAGGGTAGAAACCTTACATCCACTTAGGTCCCTTTACTTTCTTCACTTTTAAATAACATTGTCTTGAGTGTCAGATGGAAGCAAAATTTTTGTTTCAATCATCAAATAAGATTTATAAAACTCATTATGATAGTTTATTGTACATATCCAAATTTCACTTCTTCTGCTATTCTTTCTTTGTTCCTCCATGCTCCAAGATGTATTTTTTTTGATCATTTACTTTCTGTTTGAGGAACTTCCTTTAGCTAATCTGTACGGGTGGGTTTTCCTTAGTCTGAGAATATATTTATTTCCTTTTCATTCCTGAAAAATAGTTTCACTGAATCTAGAATTCACTGTATGATAGATTTTTTTTTTTCTTTTAGCACTTGAAAAATATTGCGCCACTCTATTCTGGCTTCCATGGTTTCAGATGCAAAGTCTGCTGTCATTTAAATTGGTGTTTTCCCTGTAGGTGACATGTCATTTCTCTCTGGCTGCTTTCAGGGTTTGATTTTGTTTTTAGCTTTCAGAAATATAGTTATGATGTGCCTTCACATGCATTTTTTTTAAGGGTTTATCCTATGTGGGTTCTTTTCAGCTTCTTGAGCCTGCAGTTTATGTCTTTTGACAAATTTGGCAAGTTTCTGCCATTACTTTTTCAAATAGTCTTCAGTCCTACTGTCTCCCTCTATTTCTGAGACTCCAATGATAGGTATGTTGCATGTTTTGTTATTAGGTTTGAGGCTCTATTTTTTTCATTTTATTTTCTCTCAGTTACAAGGATTGGGTTAATTATTTTTCCTGTTCATTGATACTATCCTCTGTCATCTCTACTATATTACTAAGTCCATCCAGTGAGACTTTTGTTTCCGTTAAGAATTATTTCACACAATGGGTATTAGACATTATCCAAAGAAGTTGAAATGGCTAAGAAAAATATGTGACAAAGGTCTCAGTAGGGTTAGCAGATGAAATTCCCTTAATGGTTCATTGAAGAGATGATAATGATGTGCCTTTCTAGGTCTCCATCATGGAAGATAAGCATCTCCCACCCACTGCCTGGATGTGTTCCCATCAGAAACCCTGTTTCTGCTCACATTACATATCTTAATTCAGGTTGTGGAATGATGCTCATATCTAAGTCTTCACTAGAACAATGTCAGGACCCTCTAAGATAGTATATAGTAGGATAAATTTCATTTCCTAAAATCCTTCTTAATCTTCTTTCTTCTCTTTAAATACTCCTGAATCATTATTGATGGAGTTAGAATTGAGATTATACTAACATGAATCAGATTTTTAAAATGCAGTGTAGAGGTGAAACAAATTAAAAATCTGTCAATTCCTAGCTGGGTGAAGTAGGCAATCATGTCTCACTCAGACTCAGCTTCCTTCCTGCAGGAATTAGGGGTTATAGGAGCTGCCCTGCCTCACTCACAGACAGCAAAGGAGGCAGGGGGAGTGAAAATGTCATGCAAAATTTCATATTTTACTTTTGGAGACAAACATTGGTTCTTGGTAGCTGATAGCGCAAGCTGGCATTCTTTTCTCTGCATTCAGAGTACTTACAAACTTTCCTCACTCCCCCACCAGCACCCCCTGCCCCTAAGAAGAAAACACCGCACTTACCTTATAAGCTCCACTGTTTCTGAATACATTGTGTAAGGAGACTTGGATTCCATAGGGCCCTGTTCCATTGCATTTCCACATTCAATGAATGACAAGGCTGCTTCAGCATAGTTCAATGCCTTTCCAAACTTTTCCACCTGATCAAAAGAGTTAAAACAGTGTCTTCCTTAAGTACAGTATTTTTTTTAAAGCACTGTCTATGCATTTTACTTGAGAAATCCAACTTTTGAGTTCCAAATTCCTGTGAATGGAGCTGAGAGGAAAAAATGGGATACTTCCTCTTCTAGTTATCTTCATAAATTGCCACTGGTTTAGGATGCTTACATCTGTCTGTAAGTGAATGCTTACAGACAGAACTGTACCAAATCCATATAATGACTGCCAATCAGAATTGCTCAGAACTTCATTGTTACTCTAATTTCTGTTTTCTTCTTTCTAACCCCTCATAGCTTGCCAACTTTATTCTTTGCTCCCTCATGCTATGCTAAATATACAGCAAAGTTGGTAGGCCTAATTCCATATAAAAGTTTTCATACTCTTTGTGAATACTCCAACTTTGAGGATTCCTGGCCTTGCATATTGCCTTTTACATTACCTGTGATATTCCATTTCCATGCCTTCCTCCTGTTGTGTATATGTGTTTTTAGTTATTTCTTTAAGAGTTAGGACCTTACTTAAGGGTGAGAGTAAGGAGAGGAAAAGAGAAGAGATAAAACTCAAGGCAATATTTAAGTTTAGCTAAAATGGGAAACAGAGTTGAAATGTAATAAAAAACATTTTTGGGGGGTTATATGAGGTTGTTTACATTGATGTCAATCTTTCCTTACCACAGCAAGAATCAGCTTTATATTCTTAGGGTCTCATAAATCTAAATTTACACATCAAGTTCTTGGTTCCATACATTGTTACTCTCTGTGGACAATTACATATTCTAAGTTTGAGTTGTGTAATCTTTCTAGTTTTCAAATATTCACTCATCAATCAAAACAGGATTAAACAAATACCCTAAACTACTGATATAAGTCTTGCCTCTAAAAAAATTCTCATTCATAACGATACCTTAGAAAACAGAATGCTTACAGCAAAATTCTCCCTCATTAGCAAATCAAATTTTTAAGGAGCTTATAACCCTAACAGGCTATTGAGCAATATTTCTTGGCAACACTTTGAGATTAAGGAAGTCATTCATTCACTACGTATTTTCTTAAGTGCTCAATTCTGTACTATGTGCACTTGATACACACAAGTTCCTTCCGAGAACATATAATACATTTAGAGAGAAAAAAATGTGCATCCACAAGACAGTTCATAGTACAAGGCAGTCTGTGATTAACTCAAAACGCAAAGCACGGAGACTAATGCACATGAGGTGGTAAGAAGGGACCAAGTGATGGGGCTGCAGAGGCTGGGAGGCCTTGGGGAGGAGGCCAGAAGTGACACTGGGAAGAAAAGGATTTGGGGAGCATGCTGAAGGTGTGAGGGTACATGAGAGTGAGAGTGTGTAAATAAGTGTGGTCTGTGTGTGTTGAGTGTGAGGCTCTACAAGTGCAAAGGCCTGCTGGCTGGCATAAGCAAGGTGTGTTTAGAGGCCGGTAGGGGACCTGCTTGGCTGGAGCAGTGTTGGGTTCGGCAAGATAACACTGAATGAATAATCCTGATAACCCTTGGGTGATTTAGGAAGAAATTTTCATTTTGCTTTGAAATTCAATGCTCTTCTCCAATAGTGATTGTGCTTCAGCTTCTTCAGGTACCCAGAACCTTTCATCAGACTGCGGGATTATGAGGGCAAGAACTGTACCTTCTCTATTTCTTAATACTCTGGGTATTTCCCTTGTACACTGGTATCCCTAGGCACTGATGTTCATAAAAATAAATATTTGATGAGCAACATCTATAGCATTGGAAGAGGAATGCTGTTATGGTTTGAACATCTTAACACTGGAATAACATGATAAAGGTCATTTGAAATGCTTTTTTCATCTCCATCTCCCCAGTCTCAGTTATAAATGCTGGAGGGGAGCAGACCTGCCATTCCCAGACAGGGAAGAGTCCCCTTGGATGAGACCTCAAGATGTAATAACCATATGATCTCTTTTAGAAAAAAACAGAAATTAAAAAAAAAATCTAATGTCTGAGAAGCTTCAAGCTTTCCAAAACAGTGGATTATCCAAGTAAAAAAAGTTATTTATTGCAAACATCAAATCATGGTGACTTTAGACTCTTTTCTGCAGTATAATCATTTCTGTGTTATACTGTTTCAGTGGAGTATTCATTTTGGCAGATACACATGAAGAACATGAGTCTTTTTGAAAAGGGATTAGATTCTGAGACCAAGCCAAGAGTTGGCCAGGCTAACAAAACAAAAATGCAAACCTAGATTTCTATTTTAAAGAAAAAAAAATATGCCATCCACTAACTCCACGGCTTCTAGCTACTGTTCAAACTTTAGGATTAAATTAAAATGTTCGTTTATCCAGGGCTTTCTCCCAGTCAGAAATTATTGGTTGAAGTCATAATTTATCGGGCTATGAGCACTTGATTATATAAACATTTCTCCTTTTAACAGACCCAGCCATCCTTGTAATAGATTTTTTAATTACACCAGCTATATAGCCCCAGTGACGAAGGTGCAGTACAAACATATCTGGAAGAACGTAACTGGAAAGAAAAGGAACTTACCATTGCATCTGCTTTATGCTTCATCCGTTTAGCTTCTTGCATAAAGTAATCTGCACTGCGTGGCCTACAAGGGGAAGACGACACCAAATGTCACTATTGTTAAAGAGCAAGATCTTGTGAAAATAGTCCTTTCTTTTACTCAAACTTAAATCACAGTTTAAAACTTGTGCTTAACAGGGAATCAGGTACTTTTTGCATTTCTAAATTACTGCCCGTATGTAAAATACCACGATTATATTTTACTTAAATTAGCAATTCAAAACACAATATATGTTGATTGTCTACATTTACAGTGATTTTAATATGGTTCTCCAGTGCCTAATTTGTGAATCAGATTTTTTACTGTATGGTTAAGAAAACAAGTTAAAAAATCTTACTTTAAATGATATTTACATAAAACAATTGTTTTTTAGTGAGAGATTGCAAATATACCTCATAATAATTGTATGGATATGTATGGGTATGTTTATGTACCCTTATGAAAATCAGTGTCATTTATATGTATAAATGGTACCTAGAGTTATATGTATCTATATATAATTATTTTAAAGCTTCACAGTGAGAAACGGAAAGAGGTAATGCTGCACGATTACATTTCAGTATAATGAAGGCAATTGTAAAATGATGTCTACCTTGTAACAATGCAAACATGGCATGTACTCTCCAGAGTTCTGATTAGCTATTAACAGCAGACATGTGCATTATTAAAGCAATAATCCTGGCCAGCACTGATTCTGCTGGAAGATGAAGGTAATTCATCCAGAGACTGATCTGAGTGTGTGTAATAACTTCAAGTTACACTAAGGTACTCATCAGACAATACCTTTACATGCTTAATCTGATAGATTTTTTTAAAAATATGCATACTTTAGGTGGTATTGGCCTAAACTTGTTTGTATTATGGGTCTTTATGTAATCAATAAACTTGGCCTGTTCATGAATATCCAATATAAGCCAGGACTCCTTGAAAGGGAGATAAAGTGTAAGTGATGATGTTAACTATGGACTATTTAACCTATAGTCACATGCCTATTTTGAACTGCCTTCTTTCAGATTCTAATGGGTCTTTTTCCTTACTGCAACATTAGGTGGTCAGAACATCCTTTTATCCAAAAGGGTCAAAATGCGTAGAAAAACTATGAATATAATGTTGCCAATACCACTGCAATCCAAAAGTATTATCCTCATTTTAGTGGTTTTAATCAATCAATCAATCAGTCACACAAATGAAACTGGGATAACAGCAAGTAGTTTCAGGTCACAGGTCACAAATCACTGAAGAAAAAGATAAGATACTGGTTTTCTGTCTTCCATATAAAAAATTGTCACAACTGTGCTGAAAATATTTAACTTCTCCAACAAAGAAATGAGGAACACAGTTAGTTGCAGGATTTCCTTAATGCATATAATTAAACTCCCGTCCTTGGCTCGTCATCCCTTCACCATTCTCCCTGCCACTCAGGCCTCCAAACTTCCACTCATCTCTCTGGGTCTTCACTGGAGGGCGAGGCCTGTAGTTCCTGTCATTGGAAGGCCCTGCTCCTACGGCTCTGGTTTCTTTAGCTCATTTCCTAGCCGTCCAGAATTTTTCCATCTGAATGGCTTTAGTGGCACTTACATGGTGGTTTTCCTTTTTTGTCCCCATATTGACCTTTAAACACACATTGACTATCTGTTTGGTCTTTGACTCCAGTTCTAGTAATTTACATTACTTTTGTTGTTGGTGGCTTTTAATGGACTTACTTTATATTTTTAGAGCCATTTTAGGTTGACAGGAAGCATAAAATAGTGAGGATTCCAGTCATCTCTTGCCTCACACACCCACAGTCTTCCTTCACTCTTAACACCCCCCACCACAGCGGTACCTCTGTTACAATCAATGAACCTACACTGATGTATCATTATCACCCAAAGTCCATAGCTTAGGTTCTCTCTTGGTGTTGTATATTCTATGGGCTTTGACAAATGTATAGTGACATTTATCCACCATTATAGTATCATACACAGTAACTGCACGCTGGACAACTTGGGCGATGTCCGAAAAATCCTCTGCACTATTTTTTGGTTTCCTTTTGCTTCATGCTCCAGAATGGAAGACAAGACCCCACCTCTAGCCCAAACTCATGTTCCTCCAGTCTATCCCAGACCTTAGCCCTTGACCAACATTTGTAAAATGTGGCTTTTATTACATCACCACCCTACTCACAGACCTAAAATCAATCTCTGGGGCCTATGTCCTCTCAGTTCAGGCCTCCCAATTGTCTAACTAATCTAACCCAATTGTCACTTACTCATCAAGGCCTTAAACCACAGGGGTTGTCTCCTCCGTGTCTTAACATGTCATCCCTGTTGTAGAAACTCTGCTCACTCTCTTTCTCCTGCCTAGAATACTTTCCTCTCTGCTCATTCACTGAGTGCTTACTGTGAGCCAAATGTCACCTCTCCCTCAAATTTTACCACCATGAGGCCTTCTAGGTAACTTTTGTCCATACTTATATCTTTCTTTCCTGATCTGAGATACCGCCTCTTGTTTGCACTACACTTCTGGGCATTATCTTCTGAGCTATACTAGGCTCAGTCATTGCATACAAACAACTTTGCAGCTGGTACCTTTTCAGCAGAGACTATGCTGTAGGCCTCTTTGCTCTTTCCACCCTGTAGTTTTAGGCATGTGGGAGAAGGTAAACGAGTCCCCCTTGAATAGCACTGAATTCATTTTGAGCTTAGAAGAGAGTGGTGGCTTCTGATGGCAGCAACATAGCCAATGAGCCAGAGAACATCTCCATGGCAACCTGAAATTCTCTACATCATTATCTGTTCTACACTCCAGTATATGAGGTTGGTCATTTTTTTCTTTGCCCTATTTGGTAGGTCTTCTTGCTAACAGATCATCATTTTAAATGCATTTCATTTTCATGAAAGGATTCTTTTGATATTAAGCTATGACATCTTAGTTTTCTCGAGCCTTCTAAGTTATCCTTATGGATAGCAGTGGCTCCTAATTCCTATATCGGGTCCTTAATCAATGCTGTTCTTACCTGCAGAATATAAATGTATTTTTAAACTTGATATGGAGGCTCAGTCACAAACTCTCACAATAGTGTATTGTGGATAAGTAACATCTAATTTTCTGACTACATCACAGCAGCTACAACCTGAGATGCTGAAAAAAATGTATCATCCAGAGGCCATTTACAACACATTAGTTAGAATTCTCATCTTTGCATATAATGGAGAGCTCATTACACTGATTCACTGAAGATTGCCTGATGATTGGCCCATTTTCTCCTTTCAGGTGATTTCTAGTGCCACACTCCCAGATCAGATCATTATAAAGGTAAGGAGACTGACGGGACATCAACCAAGTTGTCCAGTGGTGCAGTGGGTGCATACTCTCATGAAGGCATCACTTCAACAGCAATGTTCAAGCCAGGAGGAAAATAAAATTGTTGTCACTGTTGTGGCAGTTACAGAATAGAACATGGCAAAGGTACTAAAATGAAATCTAATCACCTCAGCATTCAAACAGATTTGTCATCTAATCTATTTGCTTATACTGAAAACCTAGACTGTTGTTTCTTGTTTAGCTAAAAATATTCTTTACATTGTTTCTTGTGATGATACTTTGTGAGGATACGTGAGCAAACCTGATAGAAGTTCAATTAAACATCATACATGTAATTGCGTATCTGGCGCTCTGCAGAAACAGGGCTTTCATGATCTAAAAAGGCAAAGCTTACAGCATATACCTTTGTTATAAGCACTCTCAGCAGTAAAAACAGCCTGAGCACTCGATCCAAAGAGAATGTTTTCTTTTTTCTTTTCTTCCCCTCATCCTCCTACCACCCCCACCTATAAACATGCAACCTTGGTTCTGAGCAGCAATTGGATTTAAGCCACCCTGATTTTTCTTCTGGTGAGGAGGATTAAAGCAACCTTGCTCTCTGTTCTCCTTGGTGGCTGAGATCCAGCTGAACGGGCTCCCATGGAGAGGCTGGCAGTGTCTTTTCTGTAATCCCTACCTCTGGGAAACAACCCCCTAGCAGAACCAGCCTGCTTAGTGAGACCTGGCGTGTTTGAACAAACAGGGTCCTCGGCACAGCAGAAATCTGAATAATTTTCTTAGGGAAGTTGAAATCCAAATCAGACAAGTAGGCAACTGCATGAATTTATCATCTGACATCCTGTCAGCCTGTCATTTGATAAGCCCCAGAGGTGTCACAGTGTCCCAAGCTTTGGGGCACTTTCTTCACAAAGAAGAATGTGTAAAGAAGTTGGCAGAAGGGAGAGGAGTTGGGGGCTGGGTGAAAAAGGTGAAGGGATTACAAGTACAAATTGGCCGTTACAAAATAGTCACAGGATATAAAGTACAGCATAGGGAATATAATCAATAATATTGTAATAACTATGTATGGTACCAGATGGGTACTTAAATTATCAGGGGGATCACTCTGTAAATTACATAGATGTCTAGCCACTATGCTGCATGCCTGAAACTAATATTGAATGTCAACTTTAATTGAAAAAAATATGAAGTAACTGTAATATTTTGATGCACCAAGTAAGTGACACTATTGATGAGGTCACTTCAGAGTCAGCAACTCCAGGTGCTGGTGTTGGGTTTATGAGTTCTTCCAGAAGGAAGCAGGTGAACAGCATTTAAGAAGCAAGGATTCAAATGCAGCATTTGTTTCTGTAACCTTGATGTTGGCTGAGACCCCAAAGTCCCTGGAACCTGGCTCCTGAGAAGCACCAGTGATTGTTCACTGTGCTTTTCGCAGCAGCAGGCTCTTGCAGACGATGGCGTCTGACCGTGCACTGAACACCGTGTGTGCTTTCCAGGATGCACAGGCGAGTACAGCAGGGTTTGTCATTTCATCAAAAGCAACTTTCTGGTGAAGTGGAAACTTACCAATTCTATTGCTGTTGTTCTCTGGGTGTGACATTTAAAATAAAATAATTTTACAAAACCTTTAAAATGATCAGAGAGGTAAGATTTCCAACAGGGAGATCTGAATTCTTTGTCCCTACGCCACCCCCGCCACTCCTCCGCCCCCGAAGCCT